TTTTTTGTTTTTTTTTTGAGTCAGAGTCTTGCTGTGTTGCCCAGGCTAGAGTGCAGTGGTATGATCTCAGCTCACCGCAACCTCTACTTCCTGGGCTCAATCTATCCTCCCACCTCAGCCTGCTGAGTAACTGGGACTACAGGCATGCACCACCATGCCCAGCTAATTTTTTGTATTTTTTGTAGAGACAGGGTCTCATGTTGCCCAGGCTGGTCTTGAACTTCTGGACTCAAGCAATCCGTCTACCTCAGCCTCCCAAAGTGCTGGGATTTCAAGCTTGAGCCACTGTGCCCGGCCACATAGTAAATACTTTATGCGTTGAAGGCCATTGTAACCTGAAAGCAGCTGTAGACAATGAGTGAATGGATGTGCATAGCTGTGTTCTAGTAAAACTTTATTTACAAAAAAAGGTGGTGGACTGGATTTGGCCCAAGGTTATGGTTTCCTGATACCTGCCAAAATATTCGTTTTCTATTTTATTTTAACAATGGTAAAACCTGAGAAGAAAACTATGATTTTGCACCATATAATGGAAAAAAAAAAAATGTAGGATTTGAAGTTCAGAGTCTGGAGTTCAAGTCCTGTTTCTAAATTGGCTATATAGCCGTAGAGACATCATTTAACCTCTCTAATCCTTATTTTATGCCTCTGTGCAATGAGTGTAGTAATAATGTGTACTTTATAGGGTGGTTGTGAAAACCAAATGGAATAAAGGATATGAAAGTGCTTGGTAAACTGAAAATGCTAAGCACACATTGCTCGTTCTCACAAATTGCTTGTTGCTCAGCATCTTGTAGATTCATGTGTAATAAACATTAAATATTTAAGATAAAGCAAATTAGAAAATTTGAATATAAACAGTATAAACATGAAGACTGAGAAAAATGAGTTATACATAATGCATTTCTATTTTCTTGAGCCAACAAAGTGACTTTGGAAGATGGTATAAATATAAATTTTTTCCAAAATAGAGTTTTCCAGAGAAAAATTGGTTTTCATCATGGTTGTGAAATGTTATAATCATTAACACTCTTGTGGGGAAGCCAAGGAAGGAGGAAATATTGAGGGGTACAGGCAGGAGTTGAAAGAGCTGAAGCCTGAAGTGAAGCCATCACAGTGGGCAGCAAGCGCACGTCTGTGACCTGCAAGGAAGCATTTCAATAGGGCTGGAACCAGCCTGGCGCAGGCAGTCAGAAGGGAGTGGGCAGGGAGGAAACGGAGGCATTAGGTGGAGACGGCTCTTTCTACAAGTTTGGCAGAAAAGAGAAAAAATAGGGTGTAGCTCGAAAAGGCCTCAGGGTGGCATAGACATTATCATAAAGCAGGGGAGGTTGATGCCTTTGTGTAGACAGCAACCCAAGCCCGTGGAGCAGGATGGGGAGCAGGGGATGGGGTGAGGAAGATGGCCTGAGGGCAGACTAGGAGAGGAGTTAAGAAGGGTGTGGGGAAGTGTCTGGGGAAGAGGAAGGGAACCATATCCCTGGGCAGAGGCCAGGCAGGGTTGAGAAGCAGTGAGGAGGAGGTACTTGCAAAGCTTCGGAAGTCACTTCCTCCTGGGAGCATGCCCTGACCACCTCCTTTCCCTCCAAATCTGGATTAAATGACAGGACGTGTGCGCCCATAGCCAGCTATATGTGCAGTGATGAAACGGTCTGTTTACTTGATTGTGTTGTCTGCATCCCTGCTTGACTGGTGAGCTTCACTGAAGACAGGGCTGTGGCCTTTCTTGTGTATCCTACAAAACCTGGCACATACAGCGCATAATAGATCCTCATTAAGTATGGGTTAAATTGGATCCAGACTTGCTGTCTGGGGATCTGAAACCTTGAGAACTGTTTGTAAGTTATGTCTCTGGGTCTCTCTCTTTTAAACCCTGGTGTTGTAGGAAGAAATTCTATACCTTCTAAAGGACTTCAACCCTCTTGATGTCCACAAAATCCAGAATGGCTGCAAATGGTAATGACTGTTCTTCCTTTGTTTTCTTTGGGAAGCAGCTCCTTTCCTCCCTGTTCATTTTGCTGATGCACTCACGTTGCAGACTAGCCCAGCAACCGCCGCATCCACACCCACTCTGACTTGGCAAAGGAACATTTGGGAAACCCCCTTTCCATATTTAACCCTCTGACCCAGCAGCGAATACTGTCTTATCAACACAATCCTGGCTTAGAAGTCCAGAGACCTGGGTATATATTTGGTCATGCCCTTGCTGTATTTTCTGACTTGAGATAAGTTACTATACCACCCTCAGCCTTAGTTGTTCCTGAAAACCAGACCTACTTATATTTTCCCTTTCTTATTTTCAAGGCAGTAAAAAGTGGTTTAAACGTTTGTTTGTTTGAGACAAGGTCTCACTCTGTTGCTCAGGCTGGAGTGCTGTGGTACAGTCTCGGCTCACTGCAATTTCTGCCTCCCAGGCTCAAGCAGTCCTCCCACCTCAGCCTCCGAAGTAGCTGGGACTACAGGTGTACACCACCACATCTGGCTAATTAGTGTATTTTTTTGTAGAGATGGGGTTTTGTCATGTTGCCCAGGCTGGTCTGGAACTCCTGGACTCAAGTGATCCTCCTGTCTTGGCCTCCCAAAGTGCTGGGATTGTAGAGGTGAGCCACCACACCTGGCTTGCTTTGAACTTTTGGGGCAGTAGTATTAATGAAACTCAAAGTCATAGACATATGCTGCGTAGTGAAAGTCAGCTCATTTCTTCTGCTCCTTAGAGGCCCATGACAGTATCTCACAGTGGCACAGGCCCAAGTCTGAACATACTTGTAGCCTGCTTGTTCGTATTCTGTCACTGCAGAGAGAGAGGACACTGCCCTTCCAGCTCAGGCTTGGTGCCTCCCTGCAGCTCTGGGCTCCTCTGGAGATGTGCTCAAAGCCGCCCTCTCTCTCTTCCCTTTTCAGCTTTGCATTTGTAGATCTGGGCTCCATGCAGAAAGTGACACTTGCAATCCAGGAGCTGAATGGCAAACTCTTCCACAAGCGAAAACTGTTCGTGAATACAAGCAGAAGGCCCCCCAAGAGGACCCCTGATGTGATACAGCAGCCCCGGGTGCCACTGGTATGTCTTCTGGCCTTTCTGCTCTGGGGCGTTCCCTTTTCACCCTTTGGAGTGCGGCTGACTTTGCTTTCAGTGCTTTCATCCACCTCCAGTCCAGTCTGACTGTGGAAAAGCAGGCAGGGTCTTGAGTGAAATCAGGGAACTTTTATGGCCTTTAACAGTCAGAAGTAAGGTCAGATGCAGAAAACTTGGAATTTGTAAATTAAGGAGACTATATTTTTGGCAAGGATAAAAAGGGTCATTAGGCAATTTAGTAAGGGCTTTTACAACCTGGAATATTGAAATTTAGGTTTTCCTTGTTAATGTAGCAGACATTGAGTGTCTACTGTTTGTACAGCCTTGTTCTGGCTGCTGGTGTGAAGTATAAGACAAAAGTCAATAAAATCCAGTTCTTCCTGGCAGGAAGATAAACATTGCCAAATATGAGGTATGAGGGGCAGTTAATGGTGGAGGCTGCCTCTGCAGGCGGAGAAGATAAGGTCCATAACTAACCCCTGGGAACTTCCCTCAAAAGGAGGAGGGCCCGTTCTCGGTACACAGAGGTGAACCAGGAGAAAAAGATCCCATTCCAGAGCCTGAAGTGTTAGTGCTAGAAGCTGACTTGGCTGCACATATGAGGAAATCTGAACAATAGTGGCTTAAACAAGTTAGCGATTTGTTTTTCTTTCCTGTAGAAGTCAGGAGGTAGGGAGTCCAGGGTTGCTCTGGAGCCTCCATGGTGGTATCAGGGTTCTAGGCAGGAAGAAGGGGAGAAGCAGAGGGCAAAAGGGGCCTGTGTCCGCTTAAAAGGCTTTCCAGAAGCCCTGACCACAGTTCTGCTTGTGTTTCGCTGGATATCCCTGTAACTCGTGGCCTTAAGTGCACAGATGCTGAGAGATGTAGTTTTGAAAGATAGACACATTGTTGCTAAACTTGGGGTTCTGTCCGCAAGGAAGCAGAGCATGCATATGGCTGGCAGTTAGCAAGGTCAGCCACAGAACTAGAGAGGTTGGAGGTGGAGGCCGAGAGATGGGTTGGAATTATTGACTACAATAAGATTTTCAGAGGTGGGCCGGGCACAATGGCTCACACCTGTAATCCCAACACTGGGAGACCGAGGCAGGAGGATGGCTTAAAGTCAGGACTTTGAGACCAACCTGGCCAACATGGCAAGACCCCATCTCTATAAACAGGAAAAAAAAAAAAAAGATTGTCAGAGGTGACTCCCTTTGCTAATTTCAAACTCTTTCTCTTCCCTTCTCTCTTAAGCCCTCTTTGAAAGGGCAAACTGTCAGACTATACTGCTTAGGAACCTTCCTAGTAGCAGTTGTCTGCTCTTCTCTGTGTTATGCCCTTCACCGAAAACTTCCGCTTCAGGCTCATTATCTTTCTGTCTTATCATCATGCAGATTTAGCATCCACATGGATGATTTGTCTAAGAGTCCAGTCACTTACTTCCTGGACTGTTGTATCTTTTTTTTTTTTTTTTTTTTTGAGACGGAGTTTGGCTCTGTTGCCCAGGCTAGAGTGCAGTGGCCAGATCTCAGCTCACTGCAAGCTCCGCCTCCCAGGTTTACGCCATTCTCCTGCCTCAGCCTCCCGAGTAGCTGGGACTACAGGCGCCCGCCACCGCGCCCGGCTGGGTTTTTTTGTAATTTTTAGTAGAGACGGGGTTTCACCGTGTTAGCCAGGATGGCCTCGATTTCCTGACCTCGTGATCCACCCGTCTCGGCCTCCCAAAGTGCTGGGATTACAGGCTTGAGCCATCGCGCCCGGCCGTATCTTTTTTTTTTTTGAGACAGCGTCTCATTCTGTCACGCAGGCTGGAGTGCAGTGGAGCGATCTCAGCTCACTGCAACCTCTGCCTCCTAGGTTCAAGGGATTCTCCCACCTCAGCTGGGACTACAGGTGTGAACCACCATGTCTGACTAATTTTTGTGTTTTTTGGTAGAGACAGGGTTTCACCACGTTGACCAGGCTGATCTCAGACTCCTTCCTGACCTCAAATGCTCTGCCCACCTCAGCCTCCCTAAGTGCTGGGATTACAGGTGTGAGCCACTGCACTCCACCTGGATTGTTGTATCTTTAATGATCTTTTCTTCCACTTGGTCACAGTTTCTCATTCCCGTAGCTCTATTTCAGACCTTGTCATCACTGTAACCATTTCAAGCATCCCACTCTGCACTGTCCCCTAGTCTTTGCAGCTCTCTTACTCTGAAAGAATGGTTCTCAAGCTTTAACAAGCATCAGAATCAACAAAAGAGTTTATGAACACAGCTTTCTGAGTCCTAGCCTCAGCGATTCTGACTCAGTACATGTAGGGTAGGGCCTGGGAATTTGCACAAGCTTCAGGTGGTGCTGATGCTCCTGGCTCTGGGACCACATTTTAGTAGCAAGGCTCTATAGCCTCAGTCCAACAGTTGATGCATTGGCACACATAGGCACCCAAAGTCCACTGACCCCACCGTTTTTTCATTATTCAATATTCTCTTTGTTCTTTCATTTTCCTCTTAGCCTAAATTCTATAGTCAATAACTACCTTAGTTCAAACATCTTTAACTCCATTGCCCTTTTCTCACTAGGTTATAGCTTGCAGAACACTAATCCTAGTTGAAGCCAGCCCTCTGCCTATTCTGAACCCACCGTCTGAGCCCCTGAAGACATTCACACAACCTTGCTAACTGGTCTCAGTATGTGTGTATGGTCACAGGCTTTCCCACTGTTCCAAACTGACCTGTTTTGGAATTCTCTGATCTTTTCTCCTCCTATGTCCAATCTGCTCTTAAGCCCATCTAATGAATTTTCCATTTTAGATATTTTTCAACTTCCATTTGATTCTTTTTTTCCATTTATCTGCTGAACTTTTTCATCTTTTCACCTATTTTGTCTCTTTTTTAAGATAATATTTTTATAGTAGTTATTATAAAATCGTTTTCTGCTGATTCCCACATTTGAGTCATTTGTGAATCTGCTTCTATTGACATTTATCCCTTGATTATGGGTAAAATTTTCAGGTCCTTTTACAAATAGTTTTTTGTTTTTTCCTGAGACAAGGTGTTGCTCTGTCACCCAGGCTGGAGTGCAGTGGCTCAATCACGGCTCACTGCAACCTCCACCTCTTGGGCTCAAGCCATCCTTCCGCCTCAGCCTCCCTAGTAGCTGGGACTACAGGCATGCACCACCTTGCCTGGCTAATTTTTGTATTTTTTGTAGAAATGAGATTTCGTCATGTTGCCCAGGCTGGTCTCAAACTCCTGGGTTTAAGTGATCTGCCCACCTTGGCCTCTCAAAGTGCTGGGATTATAGCCATGAGCTGAGCCACTGCACCTAGCCTATAGTAATTTTTTATTGTATGTTGGACATTATGGATGCTATATTGTGGAGACTTATGTTATTGTCCTCTAAATGGTGTTGAAATTTTTCTAGCAAAGATTAAATTACTAGCAGATCTTTTATCTTATTAAGGGTTTTTGTGTGTGTGTCATAGTTAGGATTGGAATGTTTCATTGTGAGCTTTCTTCTTGGGTAACATCATTTTTCCTAAGGCTTGGCTTTTGTAGGGTCCCAGGTGAGTGCTCCGGGTGCTTGCCAAGGTCTGTCCCCCTTGCTGGGTTGGAACTCCATTGTCTCCAGCACTGTGAGACCTCCGGCATCTGTGTCCTCTCTCAGTGCCCTCTCCCCCACCTTCACAGCAGCTGTTCTCTTTAAGGCCTCCTGGTACTTGTCCTGCACCACGGACAGCTTAGGCCTCAACCAAGGACCTGAGGTAGACACCTAGATTCCTTGGATTTCTGTGTGACTCCTTCCTCTTTGGTCCTCTGTCCCCAGATTCCTGCCACCCAAACTCTGTTGCTGCCCAGTGAGACAGCCACTTTCTGCTTGGGCTCTGTTTCCCTTTGCTGTGGTTTGGGAAAATGCCCCCAGGCAGAAGGCCAGGGTAAATGTGGCACTCACGTGCTTTCCTTTGCTCAGGAAACAGCCCTCTGCCATCTACTCTCATTAGTTCTATGCTGGAAACGGTGAGTTCCTGTATTTTGTCCAGTTTTAGAGTTGTTTGGGGTGAGAGTTAAGTTGTGTCATGCCGGGACCAGATACTGGAAAAGAGAATCATGGCTCTCACCTTTTTTTTTCTCTTGGGATAAAGGTGATTTTCCAGTGTTCCCACTGCTTTTGAATTAGAAATAAGTACATAAAATCTGAACACAAAATCTCCATACATGTGGACATTTAAAAACATTCCTATGTAAACAACACATGGGTCAAATAAGAAATTATAAAGAAACTTAAAAACACTTAGAACTGAATAATGAGGAAAATACTACCCCTGAAAAGTTTCGGGATATAGTGAAGGCAATATTTAGAGGTTCGTCCAACCTTAGAGGAGCAAAGAAGAAAGGTTGGATATTAATAAGCTAAGAGTTGATTGAAGAAGTAGGTAATTTTGAAATCCAAGTAGAAAGTAGACATTAATGGCCGGACACGGTGGCTCACACCTGTATTCCCAGCACTTTGGAAGGCCAAGGTGGGCAGATCATCTGAGTCAGGAGTTCAAGAGCAGCCTGACCAACATGGCAAAACCCCATCTCTACTAAAAAATACAAAAATTAGCCGGGCATGGTGGTGAGTGCCTGTAATCCCAGCTACTTGGGAGACTGAGGCAGGGAGAATTGTTTGAACCCCGGAGGTGGAGGTTACAGTGAGCTGAGATTGCGCCACTGCACTCCAGCCTGGGCAACAGAACAAGACTCTGTATCAAAAAAAAAAGGCTGGGTGCAGTGACTCATACCTGTAATCCTGGCACTTTGGGAGGCTGAGGTGGGCGGATCACAAGGTCAGGAGTTCGAGACCAGCCTGGCCAATATGGTGAAACCCCGACTCTAACAACAACAACAAAGAAGAAAAACTAGCCAGGCGTGGTGGCATGCACCTGTAGTCCCAAGCTACTTGGGAGGCTGAGGCAGGAAAATTGCTTGAACCTGGGAGGTTGCAGTGAGCTGAGATTATGCCACTGCACTCCAGCC